CATGAGTGGCATGTTACAAGGGGCCTTGCCTCCTTGTGCGTTGTCAAAGTTATGAAAATCATAGGTGGCATGGGTAGGCAACACCCACTTAGACTTGCCACTCACTCCATCCTTCATGTCTGATGACATGCCCCCCTGCCCACTGCATGGAGATGGAGATATGCCCCCCATGCCATCCTTAGGAAACAAATATGGTGTTCTGTTGGACACACCATTTTGTTCACCTTTCTTGACATCAACTTGCCCCCCCAGCCTGACTCTTCATCTTCAACTTGTCAAGTGGTAGGCTTCCATGCACCTCTTCCTGCCCCCCTGGCGGTTTGCATCCACCAGGACGCTCGAGCATAGATGGCATCGAGGTTGGGCAAGCTTGTGGTGGCACATTAGCTATTAACCCTCCACCAACTCTCACGTTCAAGCATGGTCTAGCCTCTGAGACGGTTTTATGAGTAACTGTCGGCACATGCGGTTGCTTTACATGAGTGGTGAACGTGGGAGCGAGATTTTTATTATAACCGCTATGCTGAAGACGTAGTTGACTTGTCGCCGGGGGCGGTAAGTTCCCTGACCGTGGCTGGGTAGTACGGCCACCGGAGAACAGGATACTTGTATACTGAGTAGCAATACTTGGTGGCGGATCTATACCAATTTTTGGTAAAGAAATTTCTCGCATCACTGGTTCTATAAAATCTTTTTGAAGCTTATCCATGCAATTTGTATTTTCTATAGTTGCTTCAAGCAATTCATCCAAACGTCTATCTAACATAGAACTAAAAGAAGCGAGTTTTAGACTTGTCTGTTGTGAACTTTTAAAAAGTCCATTCAAACTCTCTTCCATCAATTGACGGATCTCCACCATTACTTGACGGTTCTCCACCACCATCTTGCAGTTATCATCCACCATTGAGCGGAGTGACATGCCAGTGGTGGTTACATCAACACAAGGCGCCGCCGGTGGCAAGATCTCAATCATGCCATTGTTTCCGACAACACTTACTGTTGTTTGGCCAAATTTGAACTTGGCCGCCAACTCCTTCACAACTCCTGGTGAAATATCACCTTCCTGTTCTCTCAGTCGTGGAGCCATCAAATCATACACACAGAGTCCCACTAGGTGTGCCAATTTGTTTTCCGGCGAGGAAAAACTTGTGTTTGAACACAATGATTGCACCTTCGACTTCTTGAACAACGATTAATAACACGATTCACTCCTCTCCGAACAATGTTCGAACAAGGGTGTTTGATGTTTTTGATGGTTTTTTGGGACAAACTATGTTAATTACACCTACTCCTATGGAGGTTCAGTGAGAGCTCCGAAAACTAAGGTTATGGCTAATTTGCAGAGAAAAAGATAAAGTTTGACATAGTGCGTCAAATGGTTGGTTGTGGAACCCTTGCTTCTTCTTCGTTTCTTCTATTTATAGCCACTAGGTGTAACTGCCTTGGTAACCGCCTTGGTAACTGCTAGCTGGCCTCTTGCTCAAACCGCCTCGGGGTCCTTGTCGCCGCCTTGGTGACTAGTTGGTAACCGTCGCCTTGAGGGCCCTTGTCCCGTCTTGGGGTTGAGGTTCTTGCCTTAGCCTCCATAAACTATGATGAGGTCTTGATCTCACCCTCAACTGCTTGACGACTCCCCGCTCCTGAGACTGCTACCACCTCATGACACCAAGTCCTCCTCATTAACTTGTTGGTTGTTATCAAGCCGTCTCATCGGCTTGACACCTTCTGGCATGCTACCAAGCTCATGTAATCAACTTGACACTCCTTGCTACCAAGCCAGCCCTAGTGGCTTGGTCTCCATACTTAGTTTTTGTAGCCTCCTCAAGTTGGTAAGTTGCACCCTGCCGATTGGGTACCCCGTTAAGGTGCTACCAAGCCCGTCTTGGGAATTTATCTCCATATGGCCCCATAAGGGCTCAACTCTGCATCCTGGTCGATCCATCCATGGTTGTTTGGCTTGATACCGTGATGTTTGGCTATCAAGTCCGTCTTGTCGGCTTGATACCCAGACTTAGTTTCTGTATGACTGTCTTAGTTGGTACCTGGCTTGGCCCCCTGTTGCCTAGCCACCAAGTCAGTCTTGCCGGCTTGATACCCCCTTGGGGTCTTGGTACCCTGTCACTTTGCTTGGCTGCCAAGCCTGTCTTGCCGACCCCGTTGGCTTCATACTTAGCCAAATTCATGCTTTTCATGTCTTGGTACCAAGCCCTGCCTTGCCGACTTGGTACCCTCTTGCTATGGCCATGTGATTCCATACTTAACCAATTTTCATGTATTTTAGTATCAAGCATGCCTTTTCAGCTTGATAGCACGATGACCCCTTTGCATGACATTATGCTTGACCCCCTTGGACGAGGTCATGCATGACCCCCTTGGACGAGACCACCTTGGACGAGGTCATGCATGACCCCCCTTGGAGGCCACGGAGACGGGTCGGCCATCATATAGAGAAGAAGAGGTTTGGCCACTTAGGCCCAAAAATCCAACCCAACTAGGCCCAATTGGCTCGTTCAGCCAGCCGGCCAATTGTTGCTTGAGGGCCCGGATTTCCATGGCCATGTCGAGACATGCCGCCTTCGTACGCTGCACCGCCTCTGTATAAGCCTTGGCGCAAGCTCCCACGTTCACGGGCTCCTTGCCCTCCTTTCGATCCATGCGCGCCGTCAGCACCCTCACCGCCTGGAGCACCTCGACAAAGTCCGCGCGCAGCCCTTCAACCGAAGCCACCATCTCCGCCTGTCCGGTTTGAAGTTCGGCGACCGCCGCTTCTAAGGCTGCACATCGTTCCGCAGCTGTCCCGCCCATCGTGATCGGAGGGCTCTGATACCAATTTGATGAGAACGTAACCCACGTTCCAAGGGTTTGCTCGTAACTCACGAACGGGAGAACGACTTGGGCGTCGATAAACCTTTAGTTTTATTATTCGATACCCGGAACTAATGCCGAACTTACATATTTATAGATGACTAAACTTAATACGTAACCCTAGCTAACCCAAACCCTACTAATTATCCTAGACCACTCGGCCACCAAACCCAAGCCCATTCACTAATAACCTACTTATCCCTACTAACCCATTAACATGCTAAACCTACAACTAATTAACCCATTAACACTTTAACATGCCAATACCCTATGACCCCTCTCTTACGTGCACCCATCAAGCTGTTGCCGACATCGCCACCTTTCTTCTCCCGGTTCACCAACATCCGGCGTAGATGTCACCCTCTGCCAACTCCCTGGTTGCTGCCATCCGCACCGCTCCAGCCATTAGTGGCCATCCATCTCTGTTTCCACCTCCAATTTGGAATCATATAACAGATTCTGCGACGCTCACAACTCAAGCTGTTGTCGGTGCAAGCTCAGGCAGATTAAAATCACACATTCAATTGACTGTTTTCTTTTCAAATTCAGGGAACAAGGCGAGGCACCGGTGAATTTGATTAACGAATTAACTTGCTCCTTTGGGGAGGATGATAAAAGAGCAGAGAGCTTCTGAATTTGGAAGAAGGGATTTGGATGAAGGAAGAACGAGTAGGAGACAGGAGTCGTGGCTGGGTTGGGGAATATGGGTTTCTTTTGGTGAAAAAATTTCAATAATTATCTTTCAGTGTCTTGTTGGCAATTTTATGGTGGGCGGCGTTTTAATTTAATATTAGTGTGCTTATGGATAACAGTGGGTTTATATGGATAATTGACGGAAGGGGTGGTCTGTAAAAAAAAAAAAGCTTAGTTGAAGGGTCAAAAACGCAAGATTTATATTCGAGGGACTTGTTTGAAGAGAGTACGGTGGCCAAAAAAATGACATAATTTTTTATTATTATATTATAATATTGACGATCTCAATATTGAATTCTTAAAAGATTGACGCTCCGACACTCCTGCTCCCACTTCATGCTCTGGTTACCTAAGGCATGATGCAAAAACATGCATTACTAGTTGTAGTTCCTCTCGCATGTGGCAAAAGCTATGTTTGGAATATTTTAGTGGATGCGATAGAGCATCTTAATAAAATAGATGCATGAATGCGTATCATTGGTAAGAATAATATGCATGCTCATCTAGATGAAACTACCTAAATATATCTATCTATTTATCTCAAAAACCAACTAAATGTTAGGACACCTCAACTCATCGATTTTATCTTATTTAAGCATTGCATTCGAGCATTAGAAGAATAAATATATAGAATATAATAATAAATATTTAAAATCAATATTAGAAGATCTATTTAAATCACTAATCCGATAAGAAGTACCATTAAAAATAGTTAAAATAGAATCTAATCGATCATCAATACATCAAGACCAAAGAATGATAAATGGAACATAGTTAGAAAGAATTAAACATATTACAGTAATTGAAGAAAATTTAGAACGAAAATAGAACGAAAGTAACCAAGAAAATTATACAACATCCAGATGATGTACAAGAATTAAATATAACATCCTCATATTATTTATATCGATATAGAATTCATAGGATATATTTGCTCAAGCAAATTATTCGATTATGATAACACATAATGGTAATTTAAAGTACTTATAATGATAATTGATTCTACATTTCCTATTCAAAAATTGGTTTGGTATCAAAATCTTCAAAAAAAAAAAAAGAGAATAATTCAATTATTAGAAAACATAATGATAATTGAATATACTTATAATAATATTGAATTTAAATTTTCTATTCAAAAATTAATTTGGTATCAAGTTTTCAAAAGAGGATACCAATTAAATAATAAAAATTGATTTTTTCATAAGTCAAAAATGATTTTTCACAATAAGAAAAGTAGAAGGACCAATAAAGAAATTTAGAAAACAGAATATTCCAAGAATATTCTGTTAACTTTAACGGAATGCACTTAACATTAAACTTAATTGGTACCGGGTGCACAAATAATAGAGTTCAGTGATACCCGACGCCCTATTCAAACTTAAGTGGTATGCATGCCCCAATTCTGAAACTTAAATGGTATCCGAGGTATTTTACCGGAAAAGTTACCTGGTAATTTTTTGTAATCTTGATGGTCTAAAGGACGTTAGGTTTTTTTCTCCGGTCACAATTAGGACGACTATTTCTTTTTCTCCGGTCACGATTATGACTATTTCTTAATTGCGACAGGGGAGGAAAACAATCAGAAAAATAAGCATCGAGAAACATAGCTAGTGTGTAGGGGGAGGCCCCAAAAAACTTGGACAGATTACCACAATGGCAAGAAAGCACAGTTCCTTCCAACCAACAAAGTAAGTAGCATAAGGTAAAGGTGGGAACTTGAACTTCCCATGGCTTCCAAAATGAAATGAAGTTTCACATCACAGCTTGGGAATGAGGGAATTTTGAATAGGCTTTGTCGCAATTACAGCGTCTTTGAGCTCACAATCGCCAGTACTAGGAGGCACATCTACCGCCGGGGAGCAATTAAAGAACCCATGTGGCTGGAACATCAACAACACTTCCACAATTTCAACATAAAGAGCAAGCTATACATCTGTCTGGATTAAAAATCTGTTGTAAGAAAACGACCAATTATTGCAATATACACTAACTTACCATGAGCATGAAACCAATGCGCTCCACTGGCATGACCGGCCAATCTTCCAATCGAGGGATATGCGTAACTCCAAATACATACCTACAATACATAAATCATAGAGAAATGGTAAGAACAACCTGAAATGTAGTAACTCTGTGAAGGAGAGAGTAAACTGACCAAAGGACAATGTCAGTTTCTTCAATGGGTCGATTCTGCTTGACCCAAGTGGCCAATCCTTCCCCTGATCGCGGGTTTTGATTAGGGAACTCTCCTCCAGGATACATTTCGTCCCGGGAATATGCTGTAACCCAGAGGTTATGTTTCAAGAAGGCAGCCCTTCTGAGGAACTTTGCTTCTGACCCAGCTAATGGCAGACAGTTTGATCCAGGTAATAGTTTGTAGCCTGTGAGTTGTCCGGTTCGGTTCACAGTTCTTGTGTTCCTAATCTGGTCAAAATGTCATGAACTAGGATTAGGAGCAAGCAAAAATGATCAAAAATTGAAAGGTGATTCGACCATGTTTTTTATTACTCACAATCCAATGGCGGGCCGAGAGAGGATTGCAGTCACGCATTGCCTGCAATTCAGTCCTGAGAAGTTCCTCTTCTGGGTAGAATGCATTGTTGTGTACATTATCTTTTCCGGGATCTTCAACTTTAACATTCATTTCAACAACCTAAGTGCAAGGGAAAAAGAGAAGCGATCAACTGATCATCAATGCTCTACAGAACTTTCAATGGCTTTAATGTTTGGTTAGTTAGGTAAGTTATACCTGGTTAAATGCTTCACCAGGCTTACAATCAACAGCCATGTCCATACGTGCAACGAAAAAGTGTTGATGGACTGGTGCATACAATCCAGGAGCGATCATCGTTCCATATTTCCGAACTTCCCCTGGCTGTAGTGCTCCTAGGCTAAGAACTCCAGTGAGCTTTACCTCAGCTTCTATCTTCCCATCCTGTTAAGCATATACACTATTTGTCAAGACACAACCCCAAAAGCAGGCAGCATTTTTGAGCAATCGTAACCAAATAATGGAGGACTTGCCTGATAAAAGTGCCAGAAGAATCCGTACTCATAGTTAGCCACTGTGCATATGAAAGACACAGTTAGCCTCCTGGACCGACGGACCTCAGCCAAACCAGTTCTCCAATCCTGATGCTTCCATAAGATTCCATGATCCTCTTCATGCAGACAAACACAGTTCTCAATCGTTTCGACTCCTCCTGTGAAGTTTGTGAAATGGGCATCAAAGTACTTTATGTAGCCCAGACAATCACAGCCCTGTGGAAACATATATCAGCTTAAGCTGTCAGTAGATTGTTTAGTTACGTCAAGAAAGTTAACAATCTAAAAAGAGCAAGAGGATTACAAGCGACACTCACTTTCTTGAGAGAATGTGCATTTTTCCCTAACCCATCTTCTCCTGCATCAAAAGCATTCTTCCTGTAATGTGGATCATTTGGGTCACCATAAGGGACAACCATCTCAACAAAACTGAGTCTATGTGCCACAGGTCTCCTCCCTCGACTTCCATCAAGATAAGCAACAGAATATATCACTAAACCCTCTCGTGGAGTGAAGCCAATCCGAAAATTCCACTGCAGGGGAAAATATAAAGTTTAATAGTTTCGATACTGCGAATTATAGACAAGCATATGACTTGCATAAGTACCTTCTGCCAATTGACAAAGTGGCCATTGACGCGGAAGCTTGGACCTTCAGGCTGAATTATCTGCAGAGGTTTCACATCACTCCTATCAACACCACCTCGAGTTTCCCCAGCAGTGTAGTTTCTCAAGGGATCGGCTGGCGGTAAAGGAACAAGTTTACGGTCCTCAAATTCAATCACCACCATGTTCTGCATATCGACAAGAACATGGATTCCTTCAACAGGACGAGCATATCCATTCTCCACGGGGCAGTCACTCTCAGTTCTGCAGAAGATTAGCGGCTTAGCAAGCCTGCGGCTAGGTGCATCAGCATTACTGTGGTACCCAACACACCTGCAGAAGTCAAACACCATGATTGTTTTAACTGATCGAAACAAATACATTATAGAGCACCACTCTCTATAAAGTATAAACAACTAACTACCAAGGATCCACCATGACAAGATCCATATCCACAATCCCCCTCTTCCTCATAGCCTCTCGAAATGGTGGGAAGTCTTTCACCACAGCCTCACATTCAGCATACTCTTCAGCGTCCTAAAGTCATAAAGCAAAGCAAAGCAAAGCAAAACAAAACAAATGTGAACAACTATATATGGAGCAATCAAGGCGAAGTTCCAAAAAAACGATTTCCAAGTACCATTGGAGGTTGCACATCCGGAACAACTTTAGATGAAATGACTTTGCCCCTATGATGGCCTCCTCTAGTTGCAGCATGAACTTCATTGAGCTCAACAGTCCATATGCTCGTCTCGTTTGACCTCTTGTTATAAACAACAAGCCTGGCTTGTCTAGGAGGAAGCTTTGTGGGAATCACTGGCCTGCCTTTAGTTTTGGGAAGCAATGAAGGCTGAAATGGAGGGAAGAAGTATGCATCCGCAAGGGCAACAACATTCTTGTCTGGCTCCACAAGAACCACTTCAATAAACCGCATACTATCCCTCACCTGATAACAAATTAAATAAAGTTATCCCATTGTGAACCACTTCCAAAAATTATTTGCGGGACACCAACTAATTAAGTCAATTAAAACAAAAACCTCAGGTGTCTTCCCAGCAGCTCTAACAGTAGACACAGCCACAGCTATTTCAGCGGCCATTAATGGGTCCAATGGGTGGCATGTCTGTGCCCTAGCCATAACTGGGAACCGAATGAAACAAACAAACAAAAAAGAGAAAGATCAAAACTTTCAGTGGATCAACAATAACAAGCAAAACCCAACTCACAGTTTCCAACAATTTGAATGATTGGAAGGAGGGCTTTGAAGTTTCGATAATCGACACCTGGAGTGGCGGCAGTCGTTTTGGTAGTAGCAGAAGGAGGGGAATCAGAGAGGGGATCAAGAACAGGGTGGATCACGGTCGCCATGGCTGCTGCTGAAGTCTTGCTGCTGATGGGATTCCCAGAAGCTGTTGGAGAAAGCGTCGCCTTTTCCTGACTTGTGGCCATTCTGAAGGGTTAGCGAGCTCGCCGTATCCGCCGCCGTAGCTGTGCTTCTCACCACCACTGTAGTACTTCACTGACATACAGCAGAAATTTGGTATTTCTCTTACAAAGAAGTTCGTTCCTCTGTCTCTCTTCACGGCTTTCTTACAGATTAATGATCGCTTTAGACGGGACAAGAAAAGTAGAAAACAGAGACGGAAGTGGGAGGGGTTTCGTGAAAGAGCAGTATTGACTAAAGAGAGAAAGGGAAGATAAGAGTAGTGCTTGTAGTAGAAGACGACAAATGAAGTATGGGCGCTGAAAAGGGGCATGGTTGTCAACCCGATTCAAATTAAACCATTGATACGGTCAATAAGGTGGGTTAAGCCGTTAAGAGCTAGTGGTCCAATCGGTTTAATACGGATATATGTGAAAAAATGATTATTATTTTGGATAAAGATATAATTTTTTTAAGATATAAGTTATTTCAAGTCTAAATAATATCTCACATTATAAAATAGAAAATAGTATATAAAAAGAGAAAGGATACTTGTATAAAAATTGGAGGATTTGATAAAAAATGCCTAATTCGCATGAAAAATATCTCAATCAATATATAAATCAGAATACTCAATCACAATAGAGTTCACAAAATCACAACATAAAATATCCTAGACCAAGGTTTCTATCATCAAGTGGAAAGGAGGACTACTTTATAGCTAGAAGAGAAATAGCAACCAAGATAGAAGAAAAGGACATGGAAAAGTAGTTATTCCTCTTTCTAGTTGTTTGAATGGATCCTTGGAGGAGAAATATGCCCACCAATTGTCCTAGGTAGGTCAATTTCACCTTCTTCCCTTTCTTGCTCGAAGCTTTCTCTCTCTAAACTTGTAGAAGAACCCTTGATATCCCTTTTCAATTTCAGCTCACCAATTGGCTTGGGGAGGCTGCGAATGCTCAGATCACGGTCTCACTTCATGATCGTGAAGTATGTATTGAAACCGTGAACTCTGTGCAAAACATGCCATTTCATTAACATACTTCACGGTTGAGAGACCGTGATAATTAAAATTCTCGCGAACCGCTCGAAGGTTTCTGAACGATTGCAGACTTCATGGTTTGAGTGTTGCCATCACGATTTGGGGACCGTGATCTTTGCACAATAAACTGCACAAAGTCTCCTTAAAGTGTACAGTCTTCATGGTTTGGGTGTCGACGTCATGGTTGCTGGCCATGATAATCTACGTCTGGCCGCGATCCTTGCATCTTGATAATGAGAGGCAACTCGGCATAGTGTTTGAGTTAAGCCATCGAAGGGCTTTTCTCTCGGTCTGAAGTGTCGTTTGAGCATGTGTTTGAAGTTCAGATAGCTTTCTAGCGTTTGGATCATCTTTCACTACTTTCCACTACCCAAACACCTCTCCTCCTCGCGAACTTGTATGATAAGGAGATAATGTGCCTTTAAGTGAGTCACGATACCTCGACTCTCGTTTATACCCGACATGGGTGGCAACCCGTCTATCATTGAGATGAAGAGTGCATGTTGGGAAGTGGTGCTCAGGCAATGAATCCAACTATCATCTTCCCCACATGGCTCTTGGTCACGGGGGAGAGATGCCTAAAATTGCAAAAATGTGGTGCCATGTACCAAAATGTTTAAGTAGATGCTCGAAAAAGTGAGTCCTCTTTTCAAAAAGTAGGACCACCACCATGGAGTCCATCACTTTCACATGTTATGGATGAGTCCCCAGTGTCTAAACCCCCTTAGCTGACAAGGTCCTCATCCGAGAGTGTGTCTTGACACGAAGTGATGGAAGTAAAGATTACTCGCCATTGATTATTTTTTAGGCGCCATCGATGCATGATTGATAATTAGAGCTGGCAATTAGATCGGATTCGTGGATTGGATTGGTGGATCCATGGATTAAATGGATTGGATCAAATGGATTGGTGGATTCATGGATTGGATCAAATGGATTGGTGGATTGATCCATGAATCCAAATGACATCCAAGGCTTGGACCAAAATATAAAATTTGAAAAGTTTTGGTACTAAAATGTCATAATGAAAAATTTTAGGTACCAAAATGTAATTTTCCAATGATAATTTTCGTATAAAAATATAAATTTTAGGTACCAAAATATAAAAAATATAGGTACCAAATCGTAATTTGCCATTTAGATTCATGGATTAATCCATGAATCCACCAATCCAATTGGATTTGGATCAAATGGATTGGATTTAAATGGATTGGATTAGGTGGATAATTTTGTGGATGGATTGGATTGGATTCATGGATTTGGATCCTAATTGCCACCTCTATTGATAGTGCACACCATTGTTATTCCTACAAGTTGTACTGGTTTGAGCATGTTTACTTGGGGTCAAGCAAACGTTCAAGTGTGTGTGTGGGGGGGGGGGGGGGGGTTGATTCATGATAGATTACACACTTTTATACCCCTTGACTTGTGTCGTTTGACTTGGTTTGTACCGTCCTGGTAGCTATTTTATGCTAGGTATTGTTTTGGCATGTTTCAGACCTTAGTAGGTAGAATTCGCACCGGGATCGAAAGTTGGAAAAAGAGGGTGAAAAAGGAGGAAAATTGGAAAAGATGCAAGGATCGCGGCCAGACGTAGACTTCATAGTTTGGGTGTCGACGTCATGGTTCAAAATGGATCACCTTTTGCAAAAAAATTGGATTCCAAAGTTGGGGAATACTATACCACACACATGTCCTAACCTCCATAACAAAAACTTTCACACTTCTGAGAGGATATAGAAGTAAAGCCACTCATTATCAAGAATTTTCGTAGCACTACACTATTCCCTATAATGCACTCCATCACAATCATTAAACAATTCAAAGCACACTAAGAAGGTCATCCTTGGGACAGTTGAGTTCATAACCCCTGAAATTTTCAATAAAAGTAAAAATCTAGGTTCCAAAACACATCTCAATATCGACCATACATCATTCATTCATTCATTGCCCAAGTGCTTGGAGCCCTCAAATTGTAGAAATTCGACAATCACAAGGGCCCGAAGCATTCAAATTGGCCACTCACATGCCACTCACAAATATATGTACACCCCCACACTTAAGCATGACATGTTCCCCAATGGAGCAAGAATAAGGGTGCAACAAAGTTACCGAATCATTGGCGAGTGAAAGTCATTCTCGGGATGGACTAGTTTCGATGGAGAGAAATTTCACATGGAAACAAACACAAACACATACTCGCTCAAGGCGAGTTTATTACACAATCACAATATCTAAACATCACAAAAAAAGAAAACAACACAATTGCACTAGTTCAACAAAAAAAAAATAACAAACCAAGAGTGTAGAGCCAAAGTGTGGAGAGAGAATGTGGAGGTATTACGGTGCGAACATGGCACTCCAATAGTGTCTACCCCTGGCAAGGAGGTGAAGGCTGCCAATTAGGGTTCTGGAAGTTAATGCCTTGAGTACGGATAAGCTCCTCCGTCAGGCGATGAGAATGTCGATGTGCGTCTCACTTTCGAGCGATTTGGGATGAGACACAGAAAAACTTCTCCTCAAGGGCAGAGGCTCGGTCAGACTCTAGAGGATGATGAAGCACTTACATGGATACGTCAGCGTGATGGTGGTGGAGCTCTCTTGGGTGGCTTTGGTTCTTCCTCCACTATTGGTCTGAATATGGCAGAGGGACGGAGGCCATCGATGTACTCTATGCCTCTCTCGATGAGGACCAGTGTCATGTGGTGGAGTGTCTCCATTGAGAAAATATGTGTTCTCCCCACCTTAATGCAGATGGTGGTATCCAACCCGAAATATCGGGCGAGTCGAGTGATGATGGGCCCAAGTGCATGGTGTAGACTCGCGGGCGTCCAAAATCCTCGAGAAAGAAGTCGCCACAAACGATCCAAAATGGAGAGGCTCTCGGGGTTTACTCATTATGTGGAGAGCCACCATCATGCAAAGGGTGACCTATCCCCCATCTAGGAGACTCGGGACCACAGAGTGAGTCAGGATCATGTGGAGGATCCTCCACTGAGGCGTGAACTAGGCCTCCCTAGCATGACCCGCCTCCTCCTACCCATACCTACTTTCCTATTTGTATTTCTAGTTTAGTATTTCAGTCTTCCCTTGTGATTTTGAAAAATCGGATTGTAGGTTGTCGGGTAGTGAATTTTGGCTGTTGTGCATGTTTAGGGGTGAGGGATGTGATTGCCTTGAACTTGTTAGCATGTGCGAGTGTTAAGTTTTTGGATTTTGTGCTTGATAGTCTTAGTGCGTGAGCTGAATTCTTATTGCATTCACCAGGAATGTTGAGTTTGTTAGGCCTCCCATATTTGTGCTTAAATGTGGGGGGGAGTTCTTTACCCCCAATTTGATGTGCTAACGCGCCTCGAGTGGTGGCTTTGGGTGTCTTTTTGAAGGATAATGGCATGTCAACCCCAATCACACCTACCTATATGGTCTGCACCTCAGTGTCGACTATGGCGATGCCTTCGACAAATGGAGGAATGGTCATTTTGGTGCTCTGACTCGCTAAATCAACATTCCTAACAATGGCCAAGTGTAACCAATGGAAGGGACTGCAGTATAGTCTCACAAGTAATAAATATCGAATCCTTGGGTCTTTAGATGTACTATTACTCAGCTTTGGTTTTTTATCTAGCAAATCATATTTAGGTTTGAAGATCTAAACTACTCTACAAGCTATTAAGGTTAATCTAACTAATTACAGACTGGGAACTCACTTAGGTATGATTCCCCCAAGCCGCTATCCGAGTTAATGATCAATGATCTCTAACTTAGTTCAGTTTCCTTAATAATGCGGATAGTCCTTGAGTAGACCATGAATCTCACCTAAAGCAATCAAGGCCCTCTTGAGTCGATTGCCTAGAGGGACATATCCTTCTCTAGAACAACTTATCAAGGCGTTCTACACTAGTCTTCCTTTATTGAATGAGGTTCTCAATCAATACATAGCAAGGAATGGATGCACTATTCATGCAATCGATCACCTACTATCAATCTATGGTGCTCTCTTGACCTAATCAGGTATTCCCTCTTATAAAATCAAAGTAGAATCAATAATCTCGACTAAAGCATAATTGAACATCCAAACATGCATAGATTGAATATGAACTCAAGATAATGAAGAGAGAGTACTCATACAATCATCCAATCAAGCAAACATATCTAGGGTTCCCAAAAACCTAAGTGAAGGGAAGTTACTCCATAGAGAAGAGAGAGAATGCAAAAATCTGATCCATATCTTCAATCTCCATATCAAATCATGTTCTT